AAGGCTCCTGAATGAGTGGTGAGGCTGTAGCACTTAAGCTCTGAACCAAACTGCCCAGCTCTTTGAGGGCACACACCATGACATGCTGACTGGCCGAGACATCCGCTGCCCCGGCCTTGTTCTCCCCACTGATGTCATTCACAACTGCCTCTGAAAAAAACAAGTGCCAGAGAAAGAAAAAACAATCTTGTGTTGGTTTGTCATTATGAAGGGAAGTGGATTAAGATCTAAAATCTGGTATGGTGCCCTGTTACTAATCAATAATGTGTTCAGCATTGATGGATAAGGTGACCTGGACCAAATTGCAGCTTAGGTTGAGAATTTTAGAAAAAAAAACAAGGGATTTTTTTTATTAGTAAATAAAAAAAACGCATTTAAAAAAAAAAAAAACATAACTGGCTGTCCACATTAGTCCATGTGCTGCTGTCACACATTACGAATATGCAAAATGTTTCAACTGCAGGAGAACAATCGCACGCTGCTATGAGCCACACAGCTCTGAGGATTTTCATCTTTTTTTAAAGCATCAATGCATTTAACAATCATTATAGTTAAAGAATAAATGGGAAACAATAAAACTTATTCTGGAAATTAAAAACATCCCAGATTCAAATATACCATGGTCGTTTATCAAGATCTTAAATCCTCAGAGCAAAAGTGGACAATAGTTCAGAAAGATCAAGCAAAAAGAGTGAAAATAAACAAAAGTTTGAACGAGAGATTTAAAGCTGCATCTCAAAACGGTCTAATGTTATTCTGTAGGACACTGGGAACAAACTGTGAAATAAACAAGGGAACATACAATCCCCCCGCCTTCCCTCCCTCGCTCACCCTGCCGTCCTGTATCCAGGTAACATTTCTTAAGTTACTTTTAGCATCTATATTTCACAGAGCATAATTGCATGAACCCTCACAGATGCAGCTGGATGAAAAAGCTACAAGCAGAAAGAGACACCGACATTCAACATCTGTTTCAAATTATGTTTAAGCATCAATATGAGAGAACCTATTTTTGACACAGTTTTCATCCAGTCAGGTTGCAAAGCAGATCAGAGTAAGAATCATCACTTTTGAATGAGATAAAAGGGGATTGAAAAAAAAGAATAATAATTGATGTGTTTTTATGGGGAACTGAAATGAATAAAACGTAATGATGGACAAACGAGCAAACTGTATGTCTTGGATCTGTAGGGGGGAAATTACTTGAATCTGTGAATTTAGTGGCACGTGCGGTTTTTCTGCGAGCGTGAGCCAGACGTCAACAGTCAGAAAGAGTTCATGAGGTCATGCTGCTTGTGAATTTCAATGCAATGAGAGAATGGCAAACAGCCACGGCGGCTACGCAATAATGCAAGCATAAGTAACTCAAGTGCTTAGCTGTCAATGCCGAATGTTGCTGACATTACGATGTTGCTTGTGGTTCCAAACATAAGTGAAGAAAGAGGGGAGAAATCCAAAAGAAGCAAAGGCAGCAAGCAAGAAGGAAAGCATGAATAGGGGAAGCGATCTCCACACACAACCAAAGGAAAAACATCTCTGTGCACAACGCAAAACCCAACCATGCAAGGACAGTAGAAACTGAATGAAGGGTGAAATAAAATGATAATAATGGATGAGTACTTACTCTGTAATGCTCTGAACCGTGATATTTCCCCCCCATCCTCCTTACCCACAGCCCTCATTTGTTTGCTGATGGCTTGGCAGATTTCTTTGCCGGCTGCAATTTGTGCTTTCTCTCCGAGTAAGCCCCCGAGGGTGGCGCGCAGCATGAAGGAAACACAGCGGCGCGAGTACACAGCCTCTACGTGTGTCTGCGTGGCCCGTGGGTGAGACACCAGGTCCAAAACATGGGACAGGAATGTAGCAAAGTTGCGCTCCAGCCATTGACCACCAAGTGTAGTCACAAACACAACGTAGGCCTGGGGAAATATGAAGAAAGAGCACGTGTTATGGGGTTGAAGCCGGTAACGCAGACTCAGATTGGTAAGTTTGAGAGTTCGCCTCACCTGTGTGACGCCCACTCGTACTTCCCTGCTAACAGAGCCTCCTCCCTTCAACATCTCTCCTCCGCTCTTCAGGAAGCCGGAGCCACCGCGCAGGAAGCCAGTGGCCATGAGCTCCAGCACCTCCTCCAGAGTGGCCCGCTTCACGTTCTGACGCATCACTGAGGAGAGAAGCATTCAGCTGATGAAGAACAAAAGTGGTAAGTTACTCCTCAACGTAAAAGTAGCTGAATGGGAACTAAACAAATTAACTATGTAATCTACCAGCTGCTTGTTTGGGCAAGAGGGCAGTGGCCATGACTGTCCCCAGCAGTTTGGCCACAGATACCCGGACACCATAGTTAGATCCTTCCAAGGCCTTGAAGCACAAAGTGGCCACGTTCTCCAGTTCTGTAGTCCACATGAATACCGCTTCATTCTGCAGCTCCAGCAAGCACTGGTCAGACGAGCAGTTAAAGATGGAGTCACGTTAGTAACATCTACAACATGCATGTGCAAGACACACTTAATCTATTATAGACGGGCCGATGAGACATAACAAAAATTTGGATGCTTAGTTTATACAAATATTTGCAATATACTAGCCGTACAACAATATATTGTACAATATACAGTTATGTATTCTAAACAGGAAATTGTACTTTACACTAAACCAGTTCAGGGATCATCAGCTGCAGGGAAGTTAACATGGACCCAAGCTGGTGCATGGCAATGGAATTCCACTAAAATATTCTATTGGGTGAAGATGTGCATGACATAAATAAATGGTGACCAAATAAATAGTGTAATCTGTAAGTCTTTTACAGCTTCTGAGACCAACCTTTGCTACAGCGCAGCGTACGGCCATGGACCGATCTGTGAGAAGAGAGCGGGCATTCTTGTAGATGTCTCTGTGACACGAGGCGGCAGCTCCCCCCAGTCCACCGAGCACCTTCTGCAGACTGAGAAGAATCTCTCCTCTGCCTTGGGACTGATCAACAAAATATGGAAAAATTTGTGTCTGAATAGTGGATCTATTTAATTTCCAAAATCCAGTATACACTTTGACCGAATACATTCCTGCTATAATAAAATAGAAAACTGCATTCCATTTTCTAATATTGTGGTCAAAATTCATACCTCAGCACTCTTCAATGCCTTCAAAAGATTATTAATGGTATCTGGAAAGGAGCTTCCGAGCATCCTGCCCATCTTCTCATAAAAAGCTCCAACACATGCCACAGCAGCACTGGAAAAAAAGGTTAGTGAATGAGATAAAAAAGAAGCTACACATCATCATTCACTTTAAACTGAAATACAAGTCAATGGTCCATGAGAACTTCAAATTTCTTATTAGAATATTGAGATTGACTCAATAGCCTGTGCCGTGAGTTAGATTTAACTTCAGAGCTGCAGACATATTATCTATGGTCGAACACTACAGGAGTAGCAAAGTGGATCAAGCAGGTTTGAGAGGTGGATAAAACTCAATAAATCAGCATTAACCAATGTGATTCCATTCCTTTCCAAGAGATAACTGGTCATATGCACTTAATCCCCCCCTCCCCCCTTTCAAATATGAAATGTCATTCTGCAGCTTAACATTTGGCTTAACTGCTAATACCCTTGAAGGTGGGCTACAGCTTCTGCCTCGTGCATTGAGAGCAATGCTGGACATATTCTATATTCTGCAAATGTGTATATTAACAAGCAGAATATTCGACTGTATTCAAAACAAATGGCTAACGATAATACACGGTGCTGCGATTAAATGGGTTCTTACAGTTTTGTTGGCAAGTACGCAGGCGTGTCATCCTTGCTTTTGATGATGTCATTGCATTTATCCAAAGTCTGGAAAACAGTGAAAGTGTCCCCGATGCTGTAGAGGGTAGCAAGGTTTTTGGCCAGCAGTTTTCTTGTAGGCGGTCCAGGAGCACTGCTGATCAGTCCGGTCAGCTGTTCCACCAGCTTTTTCTGTTTCTCCTTCACGTCCACCTGCCATACAAATGCACGAAAAACTCACAAACTGACGCAAATGAAACCCACTCAGAAGAGCAATGCCAAATGCTGCATAAGTCACCTTATTTGCTGCAACGAGCACTTTGTCCAAGAAGCGGAGCCATTCAAAGATGAAGACAGGCCTCTTTGCTTCAGTGATCTGGGCCAAGGCATCTTCATTGAGCAGCAGACTGTGAGCCAGCTCCATGGCGAGGACCTTTCAGCACAGTGCCAGACACCCTTGGCTCTGCAAAGTTATCTAAGGGCGTGTTTGCCAGTAGATGTCTTTTCTCTGAAATTTCCCCTTTTATTCAATCAACATAAACAGCATCAACACGGTGGTTAATAAAGATCTGTGTAACTTGCATGTATTGTCTTTGAAATACCTTATTTAAGCTTAAAGCAAGAGACACACATATTAAGTAAGTACTTATATCAGCATTTACAGCTTCATAGGTTTATAAATCCGTGCTGTTTTTTCCTATTGAGTGTAGTAAACTAAATTGTCAAAGCTGGATAGCGTCAACAATGGTGTTCTACGCTGACAGCTACCTGCCTCCAGCTGTTGTTAGAGGTTAGCAACATAAGCTAACGTTAGCTAAGGCTAGTTCCTAAGAGGAACAAGCGGAAATCCAGCTACACACACACCCAAACTGAGCGTTAGCTATCTAACATCATTTTTTAAAACATTAAACAGTTCAAAAAGAGACCAGAAACAACACATTTTCCATTTCTGAGATACATGTAGGCAAACTGTTCATTCTACCTGTTTCCGATAACCAGGATGCCAGCGTGAATGACGACGATGACGACAAGTATCGGCGGTGTCGCATTAAAGTGGTCCCGACTTTAAAAAAAAACTGAAAATGAATGTGCAGAGCATATTGCTGTTGCTTCATTTAAAAAAGAGGTTTCACATTATTTGTATCCCTTATCCCCACAAGCCTATTTTTATAATTTATAATTATTTTTCAAAATTACCGGAACTGTATACTTCGCACCTTGTAGCTACACGGAATATATCTTTGACGAACCAAACATCAGCGAATCAAATACTGAAGTAGACGAAAGGATTATTTATTAAACGCTGTTGCGATTTTCTACATTGTTTCACTTTTTCCCGGTCATAATGTCTGATGAGGAAGATGACTATATGTCCGATGCATTTCTTAGTAAAATGTAAGGGTTTTGTGTGTTCTTTGTTTATATATTAAACCCTGAGATGTTACGTTACATGATGTAAAGCTAGTGTGTTAACCCTGTACTGTCAGTTTTTATCACATTTAATCGTCATTTGTGGAAATGTGAACTAGGTGTGGGTGTATCGTGGTACTCCAAGAATAGCTTTACGGTGTTTTTATCCCAATACATATTTCTTTGTACCTCTATCAGACAAGATGTCAAGCCAGGTGTCAGCATGGTGAGGCGGGCAAAAGAAGCAATAAAGAAGGAGACACGGCAAATGGAGACGAACGCCAAGAACCGTCAGAAGACTTACAAGGAACAGGAGAAAGAAAGCAGAGAGGCAGCTATGGAAAACTCCATTTGCAATCAGAACAAGGGATTTGCACTTCTGCAAAAAATGGGTTATAAGGCTGGTCAAGGCCTTGGAAAGTCAGGTATGTTTTTCTTTTTTGTTTAACTGAATGATCTTATTTTCATTCTGTTTTGCATTTTTAGCGTGTGTTGATGTTTATCTCTAATACCTCTTTAGGAGCAGGAAGGGTTGATCCAATTCCTCTAAATATCAAAACTGGTAACAAACTCCCTTTTAAATTTATAGTTGTAATGTATTTAGTATTTGGGAACACTATGTGCAATCCAACTGGTGCCTTGCAGTCATTTATGTACCTTTCTGTTTACGCTAAATCAGACCGAGGTGGCATTGGAATGGAAGGGGTGAAGAAAAGAAAAGCCGAGGAAGAACTTGAACATTATCGCCAGAAAGTGCGGGCCAAACAACAAAATGAGACAAAGTCTTTGGAAGATTTCAGGTGAGGTTTTCAGCTGTCTATGAGACACCATACATCTAAACATTGTTTATTCAAGTGTGTAATGCTATGCTTTTTAATTCCAGGTCACGAGTTCGGACGGAGAGAGAGGAGCGAAAGATTGAGGGCGATCTCAGAAGAAGTCAGCGAGCCTGTGAACAGCTTGACAGTCAGAAGGTTGGAGGAATTATGGTCATAATAAAGACTGATCATCACAGTGATTATGCTGATATTGCAGATCTATATTCAGAAACTCTGTAGCAAGAATAAATACAAATGTGCAGGAAATATAACCATGCTAAAATTCAATATTTTGACTATTTGCACACTATTTCAATACAGAATTAGCACTTGTTGTTGTTCTATTTGAATCCTTTGGCTAAATTGTGTTTTTAGAGCATCACCATCCCCAGAGAAGACTGGTACTGGCCTAAAGCAGAGACTGATGAGGAGGAGGGTGACCTTAAGGAGGAGGATGAGGAGGATGAGGAGGAAGAGCAGGAGGAGGAGGAGGAGAAAGAAGCAGAGGAGGAGGAGGAGGAGGAGGAAATCGTGGAATTAACTGTTAGTGTTTGGTTTATTTTATGATCCCAATTCAACTTCGTTATTGAATACATGTATGCTAATATGTCAACATTTTGTTGTGACACATGAGAAAAGATATACTGGCACATGCCAGGGTATCGTACATAATTATACTGACATGTGGTACGATAAATACATCTTCTCTGATCCAGAATAAAAATAATGTATTTGATATGTTCCTTTTTTTACAGTCCTTTGACAAACTACAAATTTTGACATCCTATCTGAGAGGAGTGCATTTTTATTGCATATGGTGTGGAACCACTTATAATGGTAAGAGTGATGACAACATGCCTGCTGGTTTTATTGGTGTTTTTAGTAACTTTGCTGATACATTGTTTTTTGTTTTATTGACAGATGAAGAGGACTTGTGCTCCAACTGTCCTGGGGATACAGCAGCAGACCACGACTGAACACGATGAAAATGAATGTGCTCAGTGGTTCCCTGTGAAAAAGCTTTTTCATTTTAAGGTGTGCTGATCACACTTGGCTTTAATATGCAATGTTGGCAGTTAGGTGATCATAAGTGGAGGACTATTTATTCTCGCAAAGCACATCACTGTTTATATTGTCTGTAGTTGGTGGCCCTAAAATTTTCCTTAGATTTAGGAAGGCTGTGGGAAATTTAAGATCTTTTATGTATATATTTTTCAAAATACAAATTTTTTTTTCAAAAGTGTTGCATACTTGTGTTTTCATTAAATAAATATACTTTGTTCTCTTATATATTGTTTTATGTAAGATACCTAACATACAATAAATCACTGAAGTTTTAATTTACCCAACAAAATGTAAGATGTTACACTTTCTACGCCTGTAATCTGTATGATATCTGTCATTTTTGCTTTATGTGTAAAGTTGTGAGTTTACATGGATCTAAAAACGTTATCTATAAACGTTACGCTATTTCATTATCCTCTAGTGCTGGTATAGGATTCCAACTTTCTTTTCTTACCACAATAAATCAGCATTACAGCAAATGCATTATGGTTGCCTGTTTAGCTTGGTTGAAGGTTTTTTTTTCTTAATGTGTCTCTGAAACATTAAACAATAGCTTTGCAGGATACTTAAAATAAAAGACACTTCGCCCATTCACTATTCTAACACATTGCTCCATCCGCAGTGTTACGGGTTGTCTTAAACCATTGCTGCTTAGTTCATGCAAGTTGAACCAGTTCTGATATTTCAGATATCACGTGAAGGGGCCATATTGTGTGACGTGTACAAAGAAAACGAAACCTACCGACGGCGAGGCGGAATTACAGCTCAGCCCGCGATGTAACGTTACGTAAAGTAAAAATGAACTCTAAAACGATACAAAGTTAGTTAGTAGTCCGAGATGTACTCTTACCCGTGAGGTGACGCCGTATCTGTTTAGTTGTTACTAGTAGTTATTTACAATGGCCGTGGCGAGACTCAACGAGCTCACGCAGAAACAGCGCTTGGTGGTTCGATATGAGGACGTTGGATCTGTCGGCCCCGATCACATTAAAACGTGAGTTCAATTCATTCTCCGGTGGGATTTGACGTTATATCACGAAGAGAAGTGAGAAAAGGACGTGTTCCTACCCCAGGGCGGCAAACGCTAGCACTTCCCGTGTTTTTCCCCCCCTGTGCTCTTTGCTAAGTTGCTACATTTAAACCATTGTATATATTTTGTAGTCGTTAAATGTTATACCCTCCACTGTACCGCACGAGCCTGTCATTCCCCAGAGCCTCCTGAAATCCTCCTGCACGAGTGTAACACCACTTTAAAACAGACGCACGCGAAAAAAGGTCCAAGTAGATGTGAAGGATTCAGCGGTGTTGAATGTAAATATTCTTGAAAGGGGCAAATGTATGCGATCTGATGTCCTGCTCCAAACATATTAAGGGCACCATATATATATATATATATATATATATATATATATATATATATATATATATATATATATATATAATCCCCCAAAAAGGACACAGTGACCCCCAATTAGCGGAGCTGTTACGACCCGATCTATGGGGTTTGCTTTGACGTACTAGCTCATTGACAGTAGTTTCCAAGCTGTCAAATGATCAACCTCACCTCAACATGGTCTCGGCTGTTTGACTGAGTCGTGTCGTTTGTTTGCAGGTTTACCGTGAGAGCAGTGGTGAACGGTAAGCCGTATCCTGATGGTGTGGGGAAGAACAAGAAGGAAGCCAAACTGAACGCAGCTGCAAATGCCCTGACAGTCCTGCTTGAGGAAACAATTGACCCTGTAAGATTATTGTGAATTTTAGCGATCCAAAGTATAGAAAAGTAAATCAAGACGATGGTCTTCTTGATGTACGTTTGTTTTGATCTTGACAGACAGAAAATGCAACAGAAGCTTCCACTGCATCAGCTGCTCAGACCGTTCTCTCTCAAGGCAACTATATGTGTTGGCTCAATGAGTACAGTCAAAAGAACAGGATGATGATCAGGGCTGTGGAGTCGACCCAACTGGTACCAAATGGTCTTTCACCGTAAGCCTCTACAATGAATTATCATCTGTAGCTCTTTTCTCTTGATATGAAAATGCATTAAATATTTTTTCTATGACATTAGATGCTGCTGCTGCTTTGTGGTTGGTGATAAGGAGTATCCAAGGGCCACTGGGAAAACAAAGAAGGAAGCTAAGGAGGAAGCAGCAAAGCTTGTATTTCAACAGATACATGGCATTGAAACCACAGAGGTAAGTAATGATGCACCGTGGTTTCTTTTAGAATGAATGCAACTTGTATAAAACAGAGAGAAAGAAAAAGAGTCAACTTGACTGTATTGTTGCCATAAAAAAGTTGTAGTTGATTTTCTGTATGTTACACAAATCACACTCCAGTGAAACAAATATGAAAAGGTACTTTTCTTTGTTTTGTGAAGAATATTGAGGAGGAGTACTGTGGCACGCCAAGCAAAGAAAGCAAAGAATTGAAAATGTCGGACATCTGGTGAGCACAAAACGATGACGCGGCATTGCTTCTTTTGGGTAATTCAAGGTTTTAGTGTCTGACTTCTCTTGCTGTTGCAGTGACAAGATGAAGAGCATGAGTGTGATCACCAAGGAAAAAGCTTTTAAAGAGACAAATTTCATAAAAATCGTCAAACACCACTGCCACAAAACAAAGCTCTTCCATGACTACGTCCTAGAGGAAAGAATGGGTCCAGATCAAAGCCCGCAGTGAGTATGGACCTCTGGACCCTGAAAGGACTCTCTGAAGCGCTTGATGGATATGAAAGAGGATCTAAATATTTCCTCCACCGACACAGGTTTTTCTGCAAATTAGTGATCGACAACAGGAACTACCCTCTGGGGGAGGGCAAGAACGTAGAGGAAGCCAAACAGAATGCAGCTCGGCTGGCCTGGTCTGCTCTCACGGAGCAGACGGACCGGGACAGCAAGGTATTTCTCATTTTCTGCTGATTTAGTGTGATCGTTTTTTCGAGATGTCCCCTAGTAGACTCTAGATTCTAGAGTCTAGAACATGTTGATTGCAAATGTTTTTCTATTACAAATCAATTTGTTATTCTGCTCCACTGAACCAAGTTGCTGCAGCTTACTGTCCTTTAAAACTCTAATACAAAACATGAAATCTGAGTCTTTTCTTTTAGTGAAACCACAATGTAAAATCAAAGTGTCGTTGTTGAAATCTGGAAACACGCTTAAAGCGTAGGTTTGAAATTCTCAAGCGTGTCATTTTGCCTTTCACCATGTGCCTGCAAAGAAAGTTACTATGAAGTGATCGGCTATACTGACATTTTAGAATCCTTTCAGCTTGTATGATTTCCATTATTTTATTCACAATTATGAGATATTTACATTAACTCAACTCAAATTATCACAACTCTTTTTTTATTTAATTTTTAACAAATCACTCACACGTTTTTCTGCTGCACAGCAGTTTAGAAATAGTGAAAATGTGTTTCTACAGAGCTTGATCAAAGTTGATGTCACTCCCAAATGTACGTAGCGGTAATAAACACTTGCTTTTGTGCTTTTAGTTGTCTCCGGGGTCGGCAGTGTCCAAGGATGGTTTGTTTGCGTCTTCAGACAAACCGTAAGACTGCGGAGTATGAAAGACATTGCAGGTGGAGTTTGAACAGTTTCTAAAGCATCTCATTTTATTCTGCAAGGGAGTTCCTTGATCCAAAATCTGAAAGAGTGTCGACGGCTGCAAGTGACTCGGCTCTCTTCACAAATTCATCAGATCCTCCTGTTGATCAGGTCTGTTATTTCCTCGGCAATCCTCTAAACATCATCATGGTTCACCGTCTATGGAAGACAGACTTTAATTCAATCAGTTTTTCTAAAGTGGCTTGTTGCTCCAATGATAGAAAGTGAGTCCACACATTGCCGGGATGCTTTTTGGGGTAACCCATGTCTTTGGTGATAGAGAACAAGTAACTATAGTATAGGACGACCCAGAGTGGGACAGTCATTACGTCTACTTCCCTGCACAACGTCGCTAATTGTAAAGGAAGAGCTTTTTTCGGACCCTGTGTAGTAGATTTTGTTTGCGGTATTGCTGAAATATAATTGGTTATATTCTTCTGGTTCCCATCACAAAGATTAAAAGTCCTGATGTGAAGCCTAAAATAAGGTGAGGAGTCTTTTCAAACCCTGTAAAGTTACAATACATAATTTTTCACTGGATTCTGTAGTTGACGCTGCCGTATTTGTTGTCTAGAATTGCAGCAAATTTTCAAAACGCCTGCAGAAACAGCAAAGAGGTAAAGTATGAAGATATTAATCAGGATAATTCATAGTTTTTGTTTTTGTTAAACGTTTTCAATCTCTGTGTACTTTATTTTATTCATTCAGGGTGAAATGCCCAATTTCAGTGGCAAGAGTCCAGGAAGAAGTCCGAGTAAGAAAACGACAACCCAACCATTGGCGTCATGGTACGGAAAATGGAAACATTGAAGTACTTTAGTGGCCTTGTTGTATTTAGCTCTGCTGTGGCTGTTTATTTGTGAATTAATATAAACAGACATTTTTGTAACCAGCCAATAATATGTAGAGTTCAGGACGTTTTGCCTCAACAATAACTGTGTTAATCTTTACAGGTTTACATCTGAGTTCGACTCCATAGAGAGCCTCGGGAAAGGAAGCTTTGGTCATGTTTTTAAGGCAGAGGATAAACTACTGAGGAAGAGTTTTGCTATAAAGATTGTCCGTTGCAAAGAGTAAGTCAAGTACGAAAGATCTTTCATATTTTTAATGTGCAAAAAGTAAAGATTTTTTTTATTAACTGCACCTTTTTCTTGTTCTCCTTAGTGTCAAAAAAGCTCTAGGAGAGGTGAAGGTGTTATCAGATCTCAATCACTGCAATATTGTTCGATACTACTCGTGTTGGTTGGAGGATTCAGGATACCAATGGGACAGTGCAGAGGACAGTTCCAGCAGTTCACGGTAAGTCCCATCCACTTATTCAAATCCTCAACATACGTCCTTCATGTCTCAGTTTTTCTGAACTTACTTTTCTAGGTCGAATGGCAGTTCATCTGTAAAGTACCTTTATATTCAGATGGAGTTGTGTAGCACAAGAACTCTCCGAGTGTGGATAGACGAGAAGAACCTTCAGAATGTGAAGAAATCTCTGCGAGACTCCAAGAGGAGAGAAGAAAGTCTGACTATTGTTCAGCAAATAGTCAGTGCAGTCAAGTACATTCACTCCAAGATGCTCATCCACAGAGACCTGAAGGTGAGACCACGTGGATAAAATGCTTATTTATATCACACCAGTCATAAAGCTCCATGTTGGTTCATTTCTTTCCCCGCGGTCAGCCGGCCAACCTCCTGTTTGGGCAGGATGGGGAAGTGAAGATCGGGGACTTTGGTCTGGTGACTGAGGAGAACAACGACGATGCTGAGAACATCTTGGAGAGAACGGTGTACAAAGGAACCCCGTGTTACATGGCTCCTGAGCAAGTGAGATGTTCTACACCGACATTCACTTTGGATTCATCTCAAATGTTTGTTGTTGACGGGAGGTTTGTAGAGCTTCAGTGCCTTTTGTTAATTGTGGGCTCTTGTTTCTCTTGTTTCATGACAGAAGAGCAGGAGTTCGACTTATGATCGAAAAGTGGACATATTCGCTTTTGGGTTGATATATTTTGAACTCCTTTGGAACATCTCGATCGGCCAGGAGAGGAAAAAGGTGAGCTGTTCAATTCAAGTCAATGTTAACTGACCCAATGAATGCTTTTTGTTTTTAGTATTTTTCAAAGATGGCTACCAAACACATATAACCATCCCCAAATTTAATTTCACAGCAGAAATGCCATCTGTGAAATAAGCCGACAGCCTATCAATTTTTAATCGCACCTATTAAATGTTCTTCTTGTCTTTTTACCCCAGGTCATGGATGATGCCAGAAACCAGATATTTCCTGAGAGATTTTCAAGCAATTTTATCCTGGAGGTACACGAGCACTCTTTCTTTTACTTGATACATGAAACCGTACTTTCGTCAGGGTTGCAGACGTTGGCGATGCTTCTGGCAGGGCGGTGGTGGGGCTGAGGTACGGGGTTCGCACTGTTGCAATGGAAGCCATAACAGGACCAACAGTTAAATGTCAGATAGGACAGATGCTGGTTGGTGGAAAAGAGTTACTTTCGTTGGGATACCCAGGTGAAGTGAATTAGAGGAGGAGTTTTTACAGTTTACAGTTGATATCATGAAGATCGCTGTTCTTTCTGTTTCAGGTCAAAGTCATTAAGTCGATGTTGAGTGCAAACCCAGAAGACCGACCGGAAGCAAGTCAACTGAAGATGCACCTGGAAGAGTGCTCCCAAACACTAAGAGGGCTTAAAGATACACGCCGCGAAAGTAGGACTTTCTGACTTACAAGGACACTTAAATAACAAGACAAAAGCATCAGTCATCACAAATTGTGTTAATTCGGGATAATAATCCATAATACCTTTTTATTTGCACTTTTGTATTGCTAATGATCTCTAACTGTTTTGTGATCAGATGTGAAAAGATGTGTCATAATCATAGTACTGATTTATAATACAATAAGAGGATTCGGTTATTCAAATCCGAGCAGACGGTTTGTGTACATTTTAGATTTTGTCACTCAAAAAAATTGAGTGCAAAAAAAGGTTTATGCTGAATATTGAGGATTGCATGGAGTTATAGCCAATTTTAGTGTTCAATACTTTCAGACATTTAGCTCCTAAAGCCATGAAATTTGGAAGTGGCACATACAAAACCAGATACAAACTCACGAGCAGACCTTGTGTTGTTTTCATAACTAACCCGTAACAGTGGAAAAACCTCAAATTAGCTAGTTTGGCGATCCGGCAGTTCCTTGAAGTACAATTCAGTATTTTATTGATTGAATAAAATTCGATATGTAGCAAAAATGGCAACGTGGACTCACTCCTAGGACCATGAATGTGTATGTGCAAAGGGCGTGTGGGCATTTTGTAAAGTTCCCTCCTTGTTGTCTTCACTACGCCTCTACACTGAAGCCTCCATTGATTTCATCTTGTGAGTTTGTGTGTGAGTCATCCTGTCAATATATCCTATAGCTGGATATGGCGGCAAACCAGGTTGATGCGCACGCGTAAACCAAACATCCGCGAGCAAATCTCCCTCTCGCGCGAGATATTTGCTCGCTCGCTCGGTTAGTCTCTGCTCGCGCTCGAAGGTGTTTCTACGCGCTCGCTGTTGTTCTTTTTGACAGTGAGGGGGCGGAGCCAGTCACCATGCTATCTCTATATCTAATTGGTTACAAACCGCGTCTTTGGATTGGCTGAAGAAAGGGGATAGAAAGGGGATAGAAAGTCGAAATGATGAGATAAAATGTTGTCAAAACACAAACGACACCTCTCTGTAACCGTAGTGGACCGTAGATGACAACCAGCTGCAACCATAATTTACCATCATTACCGGCACATCACGAGCAATGCGTCCAGCTCGCAGACCGTATTGATAAAATGAAGTCCGAAATCTGTGAATATCTTTCAATCAACTTTCAATACCGATCGATTTTTGGAAAATCAAACTAATGAGATGATATAAGATAAACGCAGGCTCCTCCATAGTTCGGTAAAGTTGGCAAGATTCAGACTGACGGACCGGCCTGCGAGCTGGACGCATTGGTCTTAATGTGCCGGTAATGATGGTAAATGATGGTTGTAGCTGGTTGTCATCTACGGTCCGCTACGGTTACAGAGAGGTGCCGTTTGTGTTTTGACAATCGTTTTATCTTTTATTTCGACTTACTATCCCCTTTCTTCAGTGCGGAAATGGGCTTCTATAGTTGTGTGAATGCATCACTTCAGCCAATCCAAAGACGGGGTTTGTAACCAATTAGATGTAGATACAATGGTGACTGGCTCCGCCCCCTTACTGTCAGAAAGAAAAACAACGAGCGCGTAGAAAACACCTTCGAGCGCGAGCAGAGGCTAACCTCGCGAGCAACGAAGTTCACGTAACGCGCGGGAGATGGACTTTTGCTCGCGGATGTTTGATTTACGCGCGCACATCGACCTGATTTGCGCTCTCGAATTTTGACAGTGATTTGCCGCCATAGCTAGATGTGGAACGTCCGCACATAGCCGCCATCTTGGTACAGGCAGCTCACTTACCCATAACATTGTGTTGGTAGTGATACGTGCACTTAAATGACCATAACTTACTCAATTTTCAACCGACTTTTAATCGGCCTGGTTTGTTATAAACGTCAGAGACGTAGTTATGACACTACATACATATTATATATATATATATATATATATATATATATATATATATATATAAAATTCTGTTATGTTCTAAAAAATAGAACAATGTTCTAAAATAGGTACAAGATTTCCCTTTATAAATATACATCACGAAATGCTGTGTGTTGAAATCCCCACCCTGTACAGGGATGTATTTATGACACTGCATACTTATGAATAATTATAATTATAACCATGGGTTTTCATACGAAAATGATATTAAACAGAACAGTATTCATAAATATGTCATAACTACATCTCTGACGTTCATAACAAACCATAAAAATCGGTTGAAAATTGAGCGAGTTATAATTATTTAAAGTACATGTACCACTAACAACACAATGTTACGGGTGAGCGAGCTGACAGTACCAAGATGGCCGCCTCCGCCGTAAGACATCTAGCCTTTAAACACATATCTATGCAGTAGACACCAGCTGTGGGAGGAACCGTCACAAAAGGAAGTTGTGAGTACTTCACTGGGTGCAACATTTCTTTGGCAACTGCAATATGCAGTCGCAAAACACTACGTGAGTGTCTTTCAGATCAAAATGGAGGCAGAGTTTGATATTTGGTGTCAGTGCTGGTTGTAAGCAGCACTAAAAGTGATCGTAGCAGCAGGTGGGATTGATTAAGGCTGTTGTTGTCCACTTGCGGGGTTGTAGACGTGTAATTCAAATATGCATATGGTCGTGAATGTGTTTAACTTGTACATTTACAAATAAAATGTCCACATTTCACAAGAGATTCATGGTCTTAGGAATGAGTCCACATTGCAGCTTTGGCAACCCAAAAAGGCAACAAATATCTACTTTGGGTTGTCATACTTGCCATTTATTGTAATCTGTTCATGTAAGAGACCGTAATGTTTTATATGGCATCAATTGAAGACTGTATTTCTAACGAGAAGTATGGAAACATCCATATGTATATAATTAGGGGGATTAACTGGGGCAATTTTCCATCTGGATCTTGTGCACAGACCAAAGTTCACAGCTCAAGGAGTTGTATGTCTGAAGATGTTGCCACCTAGAAATAGCTCCCTGCTTAAGATGTTTTTTGGGGGGTTCACTGGGACAAAAAATATGCAATTACAAGTTCTCCCTTAGCATTAATTATTACGGAATTATTTTTTGGTGTCCAAAAGTGACCAAACATAATTAAATTAGTATAAACATAATTTATATATACAACATATTTATAGGACAAAATCTAAAATGTACATGTGCTACATGTAAACCATGGAATGACCTGATCGCAACATTATTCGATTAATGAATCATGGCCTGGGTAATTACCTAGAATGCTTTATTTCAAATTTGTCAATGTTGTAAATGGATAAATGTGTATTAAGTGATGTCTATCCTATTACACCATTTGCTTTGTAATAAATAGAATAAATTGGGAAATAAAACAGTGACAACGAAGGTGTGTTGGTCATCCATGCGTCGTGAAGTTTGTTGTATTTTACACATTTTATTCATTTTAGAGGGAGTTAAATGATTAACTACTTTGTTTTTACATTGAGATGAATCTGTTTCAGTTCTGAATTAAGGAACGAACACTAGCTCAAGAAATGACGATGTACCAAATGCTATTTCTCAATAATTAGCATTGATTCCCAAAACTGTAAACAAAAAGACATGAATGAATGAATTAACGTTACACATATTTTCAGGCAAATGAAAATGGGCAAATTAAAGAGACTGAGGATTAGTATAAGCAACAACCTTTCGGGTGGCTGAGTACGTTATCCTGCTCGGCTGTAGGAATAGCTCCACAACAACCCTTCAATCCAGTCACATCATTTGATGCCGACATGTCTGTTGTTATACATTCAACCCTGTTATAACAGCCACATCTGTCGCCATAGCAACTACAATCAAGTCCACAGACCCACACCTGTCACAGTCACGGAATAAGCAACATTTAGTCTCATTTAGATGTTGTAACATTCGTATTGGATGTAGACAGTTGAAGTGTCCGTCAGTGAGCATGATGTGTTGAGTGTTTACTCTTAACATGTTGTAAGATAACATGTAAGAGGCGTCCCTCTCTAGGCGTTGTCCCCTTGTCTCTGAGACGCTGCGTGCGCACCACCGGACGGATCAGTTCACCCCCAACGAACAACAACCAGCTTCTCACCATCAATGCCGAGCCGCTCCCCTTCCTGACATTTAGTCGTTCGTAGCTGTAAGTTCACTGCACTACGTGGAGTTTTTAATTACGTTTTCTTTTTGTTGGATAAAGCAAAGTCACGTGACGAACCCAGAATGACGTCATGAAGAAATTGAAACTTAAGGGAGGTCTGAATTGACGCAACGCACGGGTGTTACCCAACAACACGAGACTTATTATTTTGAGAGTATTGTGAGCTTTTACTTTGTTCTTAAGGGGTCATGTAACGTTATGGGTTTTGAGTTGGTATTCCGGCTGCTTTTTATTTAAGATGGAAACTAGGAACTATCTTTCTGAACTAAATGAGTACGCAAAGGCAACGCGCGCTCCGCTGAAGTTTGAAGGATTTGCCGCCGGCCCTGGTTATGATCTAACGTGAGTTCAATTAAATGTAACTCTATGTTACTCTTAACCCCGGGTTGTACATTTGGACATCGGCATCACTAGTCGGTGACGACTTGGACATTGGCATCACTTCCGTATGCACGCGTGAATGAGCGTAATGGCGCAAGGACATTCCCTGTGCTGTCTTTACCTCTTCATATTCTAAGTAAATCATGGTCAGGTTGAAGAGAGGTATACAGTAGTATTAATGGGTTCAAATGTGTATTCTTTGAATAAATGTGTCGTACTGCTAAACACGCTGAGGGTGTGCGTGGGCATCCTGGTGGAGTCCAATGGTTACTGCACAGATCAATTTCTACCTGGGGATGAATAAAGAATCCATCCATCCAGCTCTCTTTCTCACAATATCTATCTATCTATAATATATATATATATATCAATGACTCAGATGTGATATTTTCTCACAGACATACCCAGTGGGTAGTCTTTAATGGTAAAGTCTATCCCAATGGTGTGGGCAAGAACAAGAAGGAGGCCAAGCACAATGCCGCTAAAAATGCCCTAGAATACTTGTTGGAGAACCGAGATCAGAACACGGTAAGATTATTGTTCCTCTTAAAGTAAAAGACCTTTCGTAGGCCTTGAATCCGTTTGTTTTCTTTAACAAACATAGCAGGCCGCGGTCCACTGTGTCAACCATTTTAACATCATGATCTGTATTTTAATTTTCAAGGATGCAGAGGAGAAACACTGTTCATCAGGTCAACAGAAAGATAAAATAGATCAGACAGTGTGGGATATCAGGTGAGTAAATCACAACAGCAGTGCACTTTTAATTTTAAGATGAGATAAACAGTTGCTGCTCAGGACAGCCATAAAGAAAGTAAAATAAAAGGGTAATAAGTTATGTAGATGTAGTAGAAAATACATACAGGAAGTAAAATCGAGCTGTCCTCTGCGTTATACCGTCTGAAGCAGGCAAATACAGTTCTCAGTTTTGCTGATTTACAGTTTAACGTATTCATCAGTGTGACACATCACTTGTTTATTACAGCAATCGGTTCAGACGCCTCAGTGGCAACTTGCATGCCAACAAAGACAGACGAAGGGAAGGAGAGGCGGATTTCATATCAATGATTGCCCAGTACTGTCAGAAAACCAACCGCTGCCATTCATACATTGAAGAGAGGAGACGCTTTCTAGATCGTCGGCATCAGTAAGTATTAATTAACCTCATCCTCTGTACTCTAGCTAGATACTTCTTTGCTATTCAGCTATGTGTTTGGATAATGATCTAAAATATTTGCTCTCTTCTCTTTTTTTTAACAAAAGATTTTTCTACAAATTAATGATAGACAAAAGGTTGTACCCTGAAGGGGAGGGTGGGACTGTAAAGGAAGCCAAACGAAATGCAGCTCGGCTGGCCTGGTCTGCTCTCCAAGAACAGTCGGACTGGGACAGCAAGGTATTTCATGTTTTTGTACTCCCTTTATGTCATGAAATATACACTCACTCACTTTGATTACGTTTGAATAAAAATGTTCTACTAAAATTTTACATGAATTAATGATGTCTATTGTCTCCATTCTTTAAATTTTAGGTGTCTATCAACTCAACAGCAGAAGATTGTCCTTCACCCGTGTTGCTTAGTCGATCAACTACACAGTAAGGCACTTCATGTAATTAGTAAAAAGGCAGACAACAGAGTCAGATAATGAGACCGATGTGCTCATGTCCCGCAGGGAGTCCCTCGAATCGTCAGCAGAGAGCAGGCCAATGGGCACAGGAAGCCCAATAACGTCAAACCCTTCCAGGGCTCAGGTCTGTTCCCTCCCTCAGTAGGTAAAGCAAAGCTCCACAGTTATGATATGTACTGTAGCAGCCCTGTAAGTTCAAAAAAGTCTAATTTGGGTCCATAGCAAAAATAAAAATGTTTTGATAAATGCTACATTATAACATTTTTGTGAATATTTCAGATTCCCTTAACGTCAGCTGCTTCTGGACACGCTGTCTTTGACAGGTTGTCAGCAACAAGTTCACTGTAAGGCACTCATTGACCCGAGTAATAGAAGACAGTTTGTAGAAATGCAAATATTAAAAAGTCCTAACTCGTGCCTCTTTTCTCCTAGAGAGTCTCTTGCATCGTCTCAAAGCCAGTCAACGGGCACAAGTGGCTCAGTAATATTCACAGATTCATCAAACTCTTCCAGGGATCAGGTCTGTACTTCTCATTACAATCCTAAAAACTGTGATAGTAAATAGAAAGATCAACTCCCTTGTATGCTGCTTACTCAGTGGGGTGGAGCTACAGAAAGAGCTGCCAGGTTCCATAAACGCAGTAACTACTAGTTGTGAGGTCACCTCAACAATAAGACTCTATGCTAACATAACAACTGCAGCGGCTTAAACATTCTGAATCCATTCATTATTTTATTCCCTAAGGATGCTGTCAAAGTCCAGATTTCTGGAAATAGTCAGAAAGAGACATCCATCCCGTCCAGGTATGAAAAATGTATTTCCAATGCACCATGTGACGCGTATATACGGATACAGCCTTAAACCTCTTCAAATATTTGATCAACAGGTTCACGTCGGAGTTTGATCCCATGGAGCTTCTTGGCAGAGGAGCGTTTGGTCGTGTTTACAAAGCAAAACATAAAATGCTGAATAACGTGTATTATGCTGTAAAGGTTGTCCGCTGTGAAGAGTAAGTATAAAGTCGCACGGTTCCTGTGTGCATTGGGCCGTATTTATGCAAGTACTCTGTTTGCTGATTCCTTATCTCGTTTTTCTTTGGATCAGGAAATCTCTTCGAGAAATGGGGACGTTATCAGAACTCCTCCACCCTAATATCGTCAGATACTACACATTTTGGGTGGAGGATTCAGGATACAGGAATCCTGAATTAGCTGACGGTGCAGCTGACAGTTCAGATACTTACGGCTCCTCCCAGTGAGTCCCATGCACTTAGTTAAGTCTTACTTCTGTCAAAGATCATCAATAAAGCTTTCTTTCTTTTCCAGGACGTCGAGTAATTCATCTGCAAAGTACTTCTATATTCAGATGGAGTTATGTGATACCAAAACACTAAAGCATTGGATTGTTGAGAAGAACAAGGAGTCTCTGCAAGACTCCAAGCGAAGAGAAGAAGGTCACAGCATCACTGAGCAAATAGTTAGTGCAGTCGAATACATCCACTCCAAGAGGCACGTCCACAGGGACCTTAAGGTGAGACCTATTATGCAGACAAAGGTGATATAGACGCTACCTGTATGTAACTGTAGCCGTTGTATAGCTAGCTCCGGTCGGATCTTTGCAAGGACGCTCAGACGCACGTATGAGAGTGACAACAGTCTTTATTTGGCAATCAGTTGCTCGGCTCCTCGGCCTCGGCCCTGAGCGTCTGGCTTCCAACTTGCCTCCAAGTCCTCCTCACTGCATATGATAGGGAGACAGTCAGGATCACTTCCACCTGCGTTTCTTACTCACCTGCGGGCACCGTTCCCTGATCCACTCCCCCGCTCTCCCCTCAGCAGCTGAGCTAACCACAGCCCGCCACCACAGTAACAGGTCAGGTGTATTACTCTGACGAGGCCCAGCACCGTGAGACATCCTGGGCGGATTACATGGAACCAGTTTATTTTTATTGTGTACACTGGTTGAGACCCATACTAGACATTTTAGGTATAAGTACTAGGAGGGATTGTGCGAGAGAGTTTGTGGAACTGTGCTGTGTGACTGCTGTTTGAAGTCCAGTATACAGTTCGGCACATCATGGACTGTCGAGCAACAGTAGTGATGTGGAGGCCGGTGGAAGCAGGTTTACGTTGATAATATCTTCCCTTTCGGAAGGAAGTAAAAGTCAACCTGTATGGTGTCATGTGGTAGTCGAGCACACGAGAGACACAGCACACTGATAAATGATCCTTTATAAAATACCAGCAGGCTGCAGACTATCGTGGAAGGCGGAATGGATCGGGAACGGCAGAGGCGGACAGCACTCACATATCTTGCATTTGCTCTAAAGAGCAGATCCTGCTTGCCTCTTGATATATATACTCCGATATACAAAACCCTGATCTTATTCAGGTCCTGGAGAACATCATTGACCACTTCCTGGAACTCAGTAGGGGCATTTGTGGAGGAGAAGGACTCAAGTTCTTGCCCTCCTGCACGTTGAAACATTTTGCACAATAAAAAGAGCTTTCAGGGAGTTTTGCAAACTCTGTAAGGCACAGGAGAGTGAGAGGATTTGAGATAGACAGCTTGAGAATAACGGCTCTTTTGTAAGATGGCTGCAGTGAAGCAGTCAATGTGTGAATTGTGCAGCCTGAGCCAGGGGGAACGCAAAATCACAGGTATTTGGATGTGTTAGTAGGACTGGAACCATTCTGTAGGTGACATCAAGGTGACCTTATCCAAGAAACTGGCTTGACCTGGAATGGAGTGAGTATGTAGAAAAGCAAATAGAGCAAAAATACAGATTATGATGAGCTGGCTGTAGTTGGGATGTCTGTCCCGTGAATTTGTGTTCATGAATTCATTGTGCTTAATATTTAGTTATTACATCTGGACTTAAGTCAAAGTTTACATTTTTTAAGGCCAGTATTTAACTATTGTCCACCAGAATATTATTTCAAGGTAGGATGGAGGGAACGTTCAACAGTATTTTCAACAGATGGTCATAAAACCCTTGAACGTACAACTTGTAAATGGGGGCGTTACATTAGATTTAATGCAGTGATAATACAATAAACAAATGCCAAATTATTAGATTTATTTTTTTACCTAATAAATGTTCGACTAAAAAAGGCTATTATTGATTACACTAGTTATTGACCGCATAAAATCCACACCTACTGACTGTTTTTTTTTTTTTATTATATTGACTTTACTGTTTCTTCCTCTGCATTTGATAAGCCTGAAAACATCTTGTTTGGACTTGATGGAAAAGCGAAGATTGGAGACTTTGGTCTGGTCACCCAAGATGATGATGGTGATGACAATGCCCTGATGGAGAGATCACGGGAAAGAGGAACGCACAGTTACATGGCTCCTGAACAAGTGAGATGGTCTATAGCTGTCGTCCCCAACCGGCTCGCCGGGTCGCAGAGAAAGAAATTTCTTCTTGATTATTTCTTTTTTTTTGCTGAAAAATATTCAGCTGAAAGATGCTGCTTTATTCTGTTGATAATATTATGGATAACATGAAACTGCTGAAGTGCCTTTTGTCAATACTGTGTTTTTATCCATCACAAAAGAGAGAGAAGAAATATGACCGAAAAGTGGACATATTTGCTTTGGGCTTGATTTACTTTGAAATCCTCTGGAAACTCTCTACTGGCCACGAAAGAGCAGAGGTGAGTCCATACAAATAATAAGATGGCTTATGTAGGTAAACGCCGCTAGTTGATTTTTATTTTTAGTTTGCAAATCATTATACTGTAAATCACAGACACGCCTTATTTTTCACTAATTTAATGGAACATGAACTTACCTGTGTAAACTTACAAGTTGTTTCTTACCTTATGAATACCAGGTTTGGAATGATGCCAGAAGTCAGAAGCTCCCTGAAATGTTTTCACAGACTTTTCCCCTAGAGGTAAGTTACCATGGATACTGAGCATCAGGGTGCAAGTTATTCATAAGGGCCACCGACAGACAGTGGTGGAACTAAGTACTTTACTTTAACTGTTACAAAAGTATTACTACATTTCAAATATTGTACAAGTATTGGACAGCGTAAGTTACAAATTCAGCACACCAAACACATGACAATGTTATTGTGTAGCTGAATTGATTAGCTCATTAACTGATTTACGTACATACAAATGTGATGTGAGGATTTCTTTTTTTTAATGTTTTCAAAAAAAAATCATCTCACGGTATTACTTTGGGTAATTGTGATACAATAAAAAACAATTTTAAGAATTTATACAAACCAAACAAACAGTAAATTGATTGAGAAAATAATCAGCAGCTTAATCCATAATGAACTAATCAAATAGTGTTTTGATTGTGCCATTGGTGCGTATGTTGGATACATTACAGCTTCAACATGTAAGAATCTCAGCAGCAGTCTGTTTTTGTTCTTTTTGCAGAACCAAATCATCAAGTCGATGCTGCATCAGAAGCCTGAAGACCGACCCGAAGCAAGTGAACTGAAGGCAAAAATGGAGATCTGTGCTCAGATATATAACACACAAAATGTACATCTGGCAAATGCTACGGCCTGATTATCACAAGGAATTGTGATACGTTTTTAGCAGCAAATATAAATGTATCTGTTTTATTGCCACCAATATTAGGTTCTCGTACTGCGCACACAGCTCTTCACAAGCTCACATCCTTACTCCCTCAAACGCACAACCATGGCAACGGTTAGCAGTCTGGAACTCAAGGACACGTCAACTTGAGGACAGGAGATGAAATTATTAACAATTCAAACTATGAACACACTAGAAAGCAAGTTTTAATGAATCATGAAATCAGGTTCATTGTGATTTCAGAACATGACCTTTACTCAATAATCGTGTGCCGGGGATTTCTGTGTCTGCAGTTGACATTTTATTATAAAGTCAAAATGGTTAAAGTGATGTCACATAGTGTCCCATTGCAGCCTTGGTTTGGAATGTGCTTGTTCATAATGGTTAGCCTGGATGTACGTACTATATTTTATATTTAGACAGTACTGTACAAAAACCTTTGGATGAGCATTGTCTCTCGCGGCAGGGGCTTCTCATTTGGTTTGGTTTGTTGAGGTTTTGCATCCATTTATCATAACAATATTGTCAATATTTTATTAGTTCCAACAATATTCTTTTACAGAATTTTGAGATATATTGATGAGTTGGGTATTGGTGGCTCATTGATGCTCAACTCAAAAAAATAAATAACATAAAAATAAAACCTGTATAAATGTCGTTTCCGTCATTTATTTAATACAGAATATGTGAAATAATTATACAGAACTTGTCTTGCTTGCTTTACTCCGTCTAAATTATTGTATATTGTCTCATTGCAATTAACAGGTGAGTAGATGGAAACTTCATTAGGATTTGTTTTCCAATTGGAAGCAGAATTCTTTCTATCCCCTTTGCTCATAGAATGAAAGTTGCATAAGCCGTTAATGCTTTGATCAAATGCATTTTGAAACACATTTGACGATCATTAAGAAAATATGTCACATTGAATTGTGTCGACTAGCAATGCGATGACTTAAACAGCCACAATGTCATCCAACGTGAGACCCACGCAATGTTTTTTGGTTACTTTAGATACTAGCATTGATACTTACATTAGGACAGTATTAGTGATAATAATACGTTATCAGTGATCAGCTATTTAGAAATGCTTTTGTTTATGAAAGCTATGATTTCCAAAATAGCTCTGAGTTTTTTTGCTTGGTGAAGTAATACTCGTTATTGTTGGCTAGTTGAAACACGGCTGGACACAAAAAAATTCCAGCCCACATTACAATAGTGATAAAAGAGTTTGCACAAAAAAGCTTTTCCATTATTTTAAATTGATAAGTATGTAATGTAGGGACAAGTCTGATCCCCAAATCTGATATCATGAAGGGAACAACAAGTTAGGGTTACAATACACACAGCCACCATCTAAACACGACCTGAGGGAAAAATTCGTATTTTCTGCCATTCCCCCTAAATGCCACACACTGCACCTTTAAAATATGTATCTGTCAAAAACAATTATTAACAGAGAACATTAACAGCTTCCAGTTAGGAAAGGCAAAACAACACATTAGTTTGATCATAGGACACCAACAATCTCCCCAGTTTTAAAATCTATAGTGTCATTTTATCCGCATTTAATGTTTAATCCAAACAATGATATGTCTGATGTTACGTGAAGGCACCACTTCGTATGAAACGAATCTTACCGAGTGAGGAGGCGGAATAACAGCTGAGCCCGGAATGTACGAGAAGGTGCGACAAGCACGAAGAAGATACAAAGTTAGTTAGTAGTCCGAGATGTACTCTTACCCGTGAGGTGACGCCGTGTCTGTTTAGTTGTTACTAGTAGTTATTTACAATGGCCGTGGCGAGACTCAACGAGCTCACGCAGAAACAGCGCTTGGTGGTTCGATATGAGGACGTTGGATGTGTCGGCCTCGATCACATTAAAACGTGAGTTCATTTCATTCTCCGGTGGGATTTGATATAGGTTTTGAGGAGATGTGTCACTGGAATAACAGATCCAGGAGTGTTCAACTTCGTTATTTACAAGTAGAGGTATTTCCTGAACTCTGTCCGCAGCATCGGCTTAACTAACTTAACTGTATTGACACCGCTTAAGAAATGAGGTAGTAAAAAAAACATTTCTGCTAACATAATGGTTAATACACATCTCACCGTGTTGTAATAAAGTGAATCATATTTCGGCACTAGTTTCCATGGCGGCCTGTAGGGGCCTGACACCTGACTTGCAGACTCATGTCTCAGAGATGATCTCACCGCGTCATTGCTGCACCTCTTCTGCTCGTTTGTCTGCAGGTTTACCGTGAGAGCAGTGGTGGACGGTAAGCCGTATCCTGATGGTGTGGGGAAGAACAAGAAGGAAGCCAAACTGAACGCAGCTGCAAATGCCCTGACAGTCCTGCTGGAGGAAACAATTGACCCTGTAAGATTATTGTGCATTTTAGCGATCCAAAGTATAGAAAAGTAAATCAAGACGATGGTCTTCTTGATGTACGTTTGTTTTAATCTTGACAGACAGAAAATGCAACAGAAGCTTCCACTGCATCAGCTGCTCAGACCGTTCTCTCTCAAGGCAACTATATGTGTTGGCTCAATGAGTACAGTCAAAAGAACAGGATGATGATCAGGGCTGTGGAGTCGACCCAACTGGTACCAAATGGTCTTTCACTGTAAGCCTCTACAATGAATTATCATCTGTAGCTTCTTTGTCCTTGATATAAAATGCATTAAATATTTTTTCTATGACATTAGATGCTGCTGCTACTTTGTGGTTGGTGATAAGGAGTATCCAAGGGCCACTGGGAAAACAAAGAAGGAAGCTAAGGAGGAAGCAGCAAAGCTTGTATTTCAACAGATACATGGCATTGAAACCACAGAGGTAAGTAATGATGCACCGTGGTATATGGTGCCAATATTGTGCAGGACAACAATCCACTGTGTTATCATCAAGATTTCACTTTTTTTACTCTTTAAGACTGCAACAGAGATGTACAACATAACATGTAAATGTTCTGCTCACAGACCTATTTACCTCAACCAGTTGCTTTTATTTTGAAAGCTCTTCCAAGAAAATATTCACGCAATACATTGTATTTTGTTTTGTATGTCTAATCACGGAAAATGAGGAGCCTAAAATTGAAAGACTGTACGCTACTTGGTTGTTTTGATGTTGCAGAAATGTTTGTCCTACTTTTTTGAAAAGTACACAACTCAATAATCAAAGCAAGTCTCCTTTTAAATCCATTTATTCTTTTATTTCCTAAGGATGTTGTCAAAGACCAGAATACAGGAAATAGTCAAAATGAAACATCCATCCAGTCAAGGTATGAAAGAAAACACATGTATAAACCTCTCACAATAATTGATGTTCAATTAAGAAAACCGCAATATGTTTTTTTTTTTTTTACCTTTTGTCCACAGTTGTGTGGATCCCAGCAGGTTTACGTCAAAGTTTGAAGACATAGAGTGGCTTGCCAAGGGAGTGTTTGGTGATGTTTACAAAGCAAGAGAAAAACTGCTTGAAAAGTATTTTGCTGTAAAGATTGTCCGCTCTGAAACGTAGGTATGCAGTTGTTGTATTCTATCATTCAGTCAACTCTTACTTAAATTATTCTTTTTTTAAATGATCTTTTTGATCAGGAAAGCTTTTCGAGAGGCTGACACATTATCAGACCTCCACCACAATAATATCGTCAGGTACTTTACGTCTTGGATGGAGGATTCAAAATACCAGGGGAATCCTGAATCCACTGACAGCTCGGCTGAGAGTTCAGCTGGCTACAGCTCTTCCCAGTAAGTCCCATGCATTTAGTTTTTTCTTCAACATTTACTTCATAATGATAAGTTGATGCAATTAAAAACTTCTAATTACATTTTCTTGCTCCTTTTTTTTTTGTTGTAGGTCAACAGATGATTCAGCTGCAAAGTACCTCTATATTCAGTTGGAGTTATGCGACACCAAAACGCTAAAGGATTGGATTGGCCAGAAGAACAATGAGTCTGTGCAAGACTCCAAGAGAAGAGAAGAAGGTCTGAGCATCGCTCAGCAAATCGTTAGTGGAGTCGAATATATTCACTCCAAGAGGCACATCCACAGGGACCTTAAGGTGAGACCACTGTGTGCGTATACGGTTCAGCAGGGGTGTCAAACTCATTTAGGTAGGGGGCCACATACTGCCCACTTTGATCTCAAGCGGGCCAGACCAGTAAAATCATAGGCGACGGGGGGGAGGCCATCATTTTCAGCCAGTTGCTGCTGCTTGGAGGGAAAAAAAGCTACTTTTCATTCAACTTTTCAATCCAATTCATGGTGATCCAAGTCATATATATATATATAAATATATATATATATATATATATATATAACTTGGACTGTATATACACGTTTTGTATGTCGCCTGGTTTACTCAGACAGCACTGTGAGACAGATCCAGGTACAAAAACCAGTGAAACTGGTCAGAGGGCAGATCACACCGAACCAGGATGTTGTTCTGGACGGATGGGGGGGGGCTTCATCTCCAAGACCTTTTATTTCAGTCAGGAAGTTTAAGTAAAACTGATAAGAATTTGCTTTGCTGACATGTTTGTGACTTGTAAATGTTTGTGACATAAACTCATGGAGTATGATGTGGTTTTTCGTTGGTAAGCCTCCAAACATCCTGTTTGGTCTGGCTGGAGGAGTGAAGATTGGGGACTTTGGTCTGGTCACCACTGATGATGATGAAGATGCTTTGATTGACAGAACAGCGGACAGTGGAACCTGTCCTTACATGGCTCCCGAACAGGTGAGACGGCCTTTTACTTCATTCTAGTAGAACACATAGTGCTGCACTATTAGAACGCACATTGTAACTCCAGATGACTGTTGCTTAACACACGTCTCTTGTTGCAATTGACGGATAGATGACACAATATTCTTTGTTGAAATTGGTTGTTACGAGCTGACGGAAGCACACGTAATAGACGGAACAAAAGATCACTCATTTTTTATTTAGAAGAAATAAGAAATGGATTCCTTGTAAAAAATCAAATGTTTGCATATTTTGTTAGATAGGTGCTCAATTTGACTGATGTATCGAAGAGATAGGATAAGAATCTTTCACTCGACCCGCAGTGGCTGCATGTACAGGACCACGGCAGCAAATGGATAAACACAAACATCAAGACCGTAATACAATAAAACAAAAAAATAATAATTATAATAAAAAAGAAAGAGAAAACAGTAACTGAAATGAAATATTCTATATACAGAAATATTAAAGAGAAAGAAAGAAAATACCATTGCAGTATTTATTGGACAGTATTTCACAGCCTGACGGAGCTACTTACAAGTCTCCCCACATTACATTACATTACATTAAATTACATTACATGTCATTTAGCTGACGCTTTTATCCAAAGCGACTTACAATAAGTGCATTCAACCATAGGGGTACAAACTCAGAAGAGCATGAAACAAAGTGCAAGTGAAAGTTTCCTCAAATAAGCCAATTTATGATTTGCAATAGATGAGTGACGTTACAAGTACAATTTAAGTGCTACAATTTGTTAGTCTTTTAGTGGAGGTAGAGTCTGAAGAGGTGTGTCTTTAGTTTGTGAAGATGAATTTGTGAAGGCTCTCTGCGGTCCTGGTGTCATCAGAGAGCTCGTTCCACCTTTTTGGAGCAAGGACAGCAAAGAGTCGTGATCTAGTCGAGTGTTTTGCTCTCAGTGAGGAGGGACGAGCAGTTTTGCAGATGCAGAGCGGAGAGTGCAGGTTGGGATGTCGGGTTTCACCATGTCCTGGATGTAAGCTGGACCCGATCCATTCACAGCGTATATGGTACGTGAGCACCAATGTTTTGAACTGGATGCGGGCGGCCACCGGTAGCCAGTGCCAGTTCCGACACAGATCCTCGCCAGGTTACCCGGTAGGTGCGGCCGTCGAGGTAGGACGAGAGAAGGGAGAGAGCAGAGCCTGAGACACCAAGTTCCTGAAGGGAGGAAATAAGGATCTGGTGATTGACTGTGTCAAATGCGGCAGAGAGGTCCAGAAGGATGAGGACAGAGGAGAGAGAGGCAGTGTGGAGTTGCTCTGAGACAGCAAGGAGAGCAGTCTCTGTGGAGTGGCCTTGAAGCCTGACTGGTGGGGGTCAAGAAGGTCGTTACGGTGGAGATGGGAGGAGAGTTGGTTAAAGATCGCACGTTCAAGAGTTTTGGACAGAAAGGGAAGAAGAGAGACCGGCATGTAGTTGTTTTCTTCTGAAGGGTTGCGTAGGTAGGTTTCTTCAGGAGTAACTCTGGCCTCCTTCGGAGAATTGGGGAAACAGCCAGATAACAGAGCATTGTTGATGAGACGGGTGAGGAAAGGAAGAAGGTCAGGAGCGATAGATTGTAGAAGATGTGATGGAATGGAGGGCAGGTGTCAAATTAAAAATGTTTCATCAAAGATATTCATTTGTTACTATTTATACCATACTAAAATTCAAGTTAAAATCTAAGTACTTAAAACTGAGCTGAAACCCAATTTGCTTCATTAGCATAAGTAATAAACATTTCATGATGAAATTATAACATTAGTCAGATGAAGTGCATTTTGTTAATACTGTGTTTGCATCCATCACAAAAGAGTAAGAAGAACTATGACCGTAAAGTGGACATATTTGCTATGGGGTTGATCTTCTTGGAAATCCTTTGGAAAGTGTCTTCTGGCCACGAAAGAGCAGAGGTGAGTCTTTCATAAACAGATCGGAGCGTTGCTTTTATTATTAAAGTTTGGACAGTTAATAATATGTGGCAGTGGACGTCTGTTCAGTGTGTAACAAAACCACACACACACAATCTTCATTAATAGTTTTCCTTGTATTTATTTGTAACTATAGTTTTAATTATTATTTGTTCCAGGCTAACTAACATGTCTTTCCTTTTATCACTTCTTGAATACCAGATTTTTAGGGATGCCAAATGCCAGAAGCTCCCCACAGAGTTTTTACAGACTTATCCCCAAGAGGTAGATCACAATGTTCATATTACAATAACGGATTTTAAGACCGACAACGGTCGATGAGTCAATTGTATGGTTTTTTATTTTCTATTTGCAGATGCTAATCATTAAGTCAATGCTGCGCGAGAATCCAGAAAAACGACCTGAGGCGACTGAAGTGAAGGCAGAACTGGAGAAGTGTGTGAGCACGTTCAACGCACAAAGCCTTCCCCAAAGAAACGCAACTGTCTGATGATCACAAGAAGTTCTGATGAGTCTTAAGAGTGGATGGAAAACAGTGTGGGATTTTATCCAATGATCGGATTAATTGTTGGTGGGTAAACGGTTATCGTCCTGCACTGTGTAACCTGAATGTTGACTGATTTTAAACTTAATGTCCATTTTGAAGAGATGCTGCTACACGTAACGAGTGAACACTGACACGCCGTCTGTGACGCTAGAAAAGTACCTGGAGCCTCATAGCGTGAAGCTGTGAGAACCTTTTACGCATTGTTCAACATGCCGACGTGAGGTCAAACCATTAACTATGAAATTAATGTCCAAGTTATTATCATTATAATTATAAGGTTCACAATCAGGTGATGAAACGTGATTTAATCATTTTTAACCAGGAAATGGTAACTTTGACATGAATTCACATCGGTTTAGCTTTTCATTCTACCTGATCATGTACCTTCCCTTTCCAATGATGTCACATTACAGCCTTCGCTTTGTGTTATTTCTTTCTTTTTCTAATTTTAATCTGTAATTCTTTGCACTATTTCTATGCTGTTGAAAGTTTACAGAGCGGTCTCACATGTGTCACCATGCCGGGCCAATAAAGACTAGTGTGAGTGTAAGTTTTATTTTATAGGTTGTCAGGTAAATCTTAAAAATGACTGTTCCCAACGTCCTTTCCTAACAGTATTAAAGTCGAGCCATCCTGTTGTATCGGTTGCTGTGACTGGAGATTAAAATAACCATTTAGCTCTTTAGCCCGTCTGCTGTCACAGTATGACACCACCCTCATTGGACTCATGTCGGGGAGAGACGAGTCCGCCGACAGGTCGGTGATTGGCTAACTGGTGACGTGGTGCAGATGGAACAACCTGCAGCTCAACGCTCCGAAGGCAGTGGAGACGGTTGTGGATTTCAAAAGCAACGCAGCCCTTCCGCTTCCTGCGGCCCGTCATATCTCAGGACCTCAAGCGGGAGCCGAACAACAGAACCTCTGAGGCGGGCAAGAAATATTGTAGCCGACCCGCCGCATGAACCAAGTCCGAGTCCCCCACTGAACCAGACATTACATGCAGGACATTTGCACAGAGATTTCTCACCATGGAAAGATTTGTACTTTGTTTTACCGAACTGATCTGTTTATATTGTTCGTTTTCTCTTCTTGTTTTACTTTATCTTGTTTTATTCTTATATCGCACCAATCACCAAGACACGTTCCTCTGTGTGTAACACACCTTGCAAGATTTTCATCCAGATTCTGATTCAATCTTTATGGAAAGACAATAAAGAGGAAACACTACTTCCCCAGTACCAGCAGTCATGGGTCAGAATGCAGTCAGTACAGAAGAAACAATGTATATTTCTCATGTATACGTATATCCATCCATTGTCAAACCGCTTATCCTGCACACAGGGTCGCGGGGGGGCTGGAGTCCATCCCAGCCAACTTCGGGCGATAGACAGGGTACATCCTGGATTGGTCGCCAGCCAATCGCAGGGCAACACAGAGACATACAACCATTCACACTCACATTCACAGGCAATTTAAAGTCCCCAATCAACCTGATCCCCAGAGCATGTCTTTGGACTGTTGGAGGAAGCCGGAGAACCCGGAGAGAACCCACGCAGACACAGGGAGAACATGCAGACTCCACACAGAAAGGCCACTGGGCGGAATCGAACCCAAGACCTTCTTGCTGTGAGGCGACAGTGCTAACCACCACGCCACCGTGATGTATTAATATGTAATGGAATAATTTCAAGCGAATAAGTCAATTTGCGTCCCTGCGGACAGTTCTTCCATTGTCCCTTTAGAGTTGAATATACCACACGAGGGCAGTCTTGCCATGTTTCTTTTTCCAAGATTGCGGTTGATTGATGTTTTTTGTATTTCTATGAATATAACATTATGTGGGAAACCGAGACAACCATAGTATAATGGACTAAGATAAAACATACAATGTTGAGCAATTTGGGACATAAAACAACAATTCTATAACCACTTCCAAAGAGCTACATTTTTTTGAAACAACCACGAGAAAAGAATGTGCATAGATGCTCAGGGTGGGATGATACAAAACATTGTTGTTGTCTTTTAAGGTGTGACCTGCAGGGGGGGCTGTGGCTCCGTGGAGACCACAGGCTACCTCAGCGTGTAGGTGACAAAAGGTTTATTCACAGTGAGAGAGTCCAAAATCGGAGAGAGCTCCGTGACATTTAATCATGCCTCCAGCGCACGTTTGATGATTAGCATCTCTGTAGAAACCAACAGGAACAAGTGCCGGATCCCACACAATCACCGGGCTGTGGCGCCCGTCGTCCCAGAGGCCCATAGGATCAGCACAAATCAGCTCCTGTGCCTCAGCATGTTCAATCGGCACACTGCAAAGCTAAAAATGTGCTCCGTGCCTGTGGATTGAGGCCTTAAACAGATGATCTACCTTCATGTAGATTGAAGAACCTGTTTAGTTTCTGTACTGTCACATCACCTCATTGTAAAACGCTGACTGATGAGGGAAATAGCGGCAGAATTTAGCAGATTTCAGACAAAGGCTTGACTTATCCTTCTTCCAGCCCTTTTGAGAACACAGACTATTTTCAATCTTGATATTCCTTTCAGGTCAATGGGCCTTTTAAGAGAATCTCAGTCGTTTGTGTCTATCGGGTGAATGCAGGTCCAGTGTTCATGGACTCCTGGGGGAAATATCTGGCCGCTGAATGCTCCACTATGTTCAGCAGCTTGTCACTGGCACTAACGTTTCAAACAAGACCACCAGTTATAAGCTGAACACGCTTCATAGAGCCGAGGAGACACGCTCACTGTGAACAACGCCTGTCACATCACACTCGTTTGATCAATTGATTAGAAATATGAAATGTGGGAATGAGAATTAAGCTGGTGGGATTCGAATGGAATAAAATGTTATCTATATCCTATATTATTTGATTTAGTCAGCATGTAGGGCCATGACACTGGTATTTCATTTCATGCCGGAGATAAAACGTACCCTGTTTCGTTGCTATATGTGACCCTATTTATTATGATTACATTTTATCTAACTTCCGCAATAACAGCGGCCAGGCGAATATCTCCTTTTTCTTTGAAGATGTCATTTAAACCTTTCTTCCCTTGACATTTACACCACCAAAACAATCCAGCCTCTCATTTTAGCCGCTTCTCAGATAAGAAACCTGGTGTGTTTCCAATCTTCCACAGCTGTTGCGCCTGTGCGAGCAGGGTTATTGGATGTATTGAGGTCACTTCCTCTGAGAGCAGTGTGGGCACTGAAGCAGTGCTGTAGTCAGTGGCCTGGACCATGTAGCCCGGAGTAAAATGGACTCCCCGGTCTGGAGACGCAGCAGCAGAGTGTCTCCCCAGAGTCCCAGGGGTCGGAGCAGGCGATTACTCCGTGAGCAGCCGGGGTTTGTTCTCTGCTCGGTGTGTTTTAGGAATCCGCCTTCCTGCCAAGGCAGAAACTATCGGCCACGAGCAGATATTTAAAAAAAAAAGTAAAATGCCAGTTGAGGTCACACGAGACGTGCGGTTATCTACCGGGCCCGTGCATATATGCACATGCGTATTTCAGAGGTTTCTGTTGTTGAGTTATTGCCCACTTAACCTGTGGTGAGCCCCCGTTAACTGGAGCAAGACTGCAGTTTGTGCGACGCCCCAGAGGCCCCACTTGGCTTTCACTGTGGACTTTCCACCTCTTCTCTTCCACATCCTGCCACTGTCCACTCCACTTACGAGACAGATGTGTTGTTTAAAAGGACCATAAGGAGCAAGACGTTGCTCACGGAAAGATGGATTGATAGTTTCAGCTCATTGTTTTGGAATTGCAGCCTGTAAATGAGTGATATCATCACTTAAATTCTCTTCAATCACACAGAACTAAGAATTGTTCTGTTTTTGATACAATTTGAAAGTATGTTGTTTGAATAATGTGGTCCCACTCTTCACTGAAGTAATGCACACTACACTAGTTTTGGAGGAATTGACATTCTTCCATCAAAAATGTGTCCTTTCTAATGAGGGAAAGTGACTTGTGGGACATGGACTCAATGAACACTGATATTTTCTTTGCAAAACAAATGCGTATTGTCACCACAGCCTGCAGAAGATTTTGTTGGGCGTATGTCACATCGCACTCTTGACGGACCACAGAAGAAGGTTTCACCAGACACAGTGACAGTGTTGTTCTTCCCCCTACAGATTATATTAAATATTACAAAAAAGCTCCTGCAGTCACAGTCGCATCTAAGCGTCTAATTCAAAGAAAAACACCAGAATCAGCTCCAGTGAGCAGAGCAGACTCAATCTCCCTCTCACACATATTTCCGCTATAAAACTCACTCCATCACAACTGGTGGACATCAAATGCCCTGTAAATCAGAGACGGTACGCAAACGTTACCCAACGTCAGTCAAACGTTCCTCCATTCATCACAACATTCATTCACACTTTTTATATTCACTCACAAATACTTCCCTCTGTCTCTTGAGAGTAGCCGAATATTTTGACACCACAGGAGGTCTTTGATTAGGCGTTGTTGTTTATCACTGATGGACAGACTGATGGACAGCGTGCTGTCCCGGTTGGTCTTCTCGATCTAACAAATGTCCATAAACAGTAAGATTCTCCGATTCATCTTTAAGTCACACCTAAAGTAACTCCTTTGAACCACAACGTGTCACTTTGGACACTTTGGAGAAATAAGTATAAGTAAGTAATAAGTATTGTTTTTCCTATCTGTTTGTGTGTGTGTGTGTGTGTGTGTGTGTGTGGCTGTTTGGCAGACCTGCGCTCCGCGTGGCAGCTGAAGGAGCTGTCAGAACAACGTGACTTACGACGCCTCGTGTCACTTTGTGTGGGCTGGTAATTTACTACAAGTGATATTGCATTCTCTGTCTTGACGGCCTGCCAACGCCGTCAACCGGCAAAGCCAGAAAAGTCGTCAACCGCCTGCTGCCCCCTTAAATCCCCAAACTGTCCAAAAGTCTTTGTGCACTCGCCGCCACACCTCTCAGCCTCAAAGGGTCAAGGGCACATCGGCAGAGGTAAATCTTTAATAAGGTGTAGAGTCCGGCCCATGTGGGAGTTCAGCAGTTCACAGCAGAGCAGCAGGGGAGGCGTCAGCGTGTCAGGAGGATCCTCTGCAGGCTTTCACAGCCAGTTATTTCCGTTTTTTTTTCTTTTGCAGAAACGACACCTTCTGACGGCCCAGCTGTTGTACCGGTCGCCCGCCGGAAAGACACGCGTGAGGTGACGCAATCACGCCGCTGGAGTGGAAGCTCGTGTGAGACGTATGGGGAGACATCTTGCACCGGGGAGGAACAGAAACAGCGCACGTGGTGTCAGAGCTTGTGACTTTATATGTGACGGGTGTTATGTTGAGTTTGAGCCCACTGCAACCACAGTGCAACGCGGATCCCTCCAGAACAAGCACGCAGACATCTGAACGTCCTCCTCATTGCTCTCATAAATATATCATACTTGTGGTTTTAAAAATAGGAAACGCAGTCCCCCTAAAAGGGTGTAAAGTAACAATTTTATTTGCTTCTAAATAATTGAGAAGGAAGGATGCTGCTCCTGCAGCAACAGACTGGAGCCATGCGATAGGATTCAAGTCCATGCGCTATTAAAAGCATCATATTGAAGTGTTTACAGTCTGGAAATTACAATATCCATCCCTGGCAGGATCAAGCAAGCTGACTTCACGGCATAATTTAAATGCTAAGTGACAGTAAATGTGGGCGGCGTGATGGCAGCATTGATTACCTGAAGCTCATCAAACTGGCAGTTGAATTGAACAATAAAGTGAATCGACAGGAATGAATTACGTCTGTAATGTTTGTGGACTCACATTTGCCTCCTCCTCTTGTGTGTCGGTGATTATCTGGCCGGCACCTATGGGAGAAGCTGGGAGGGAGATGAAAGCGCTGCGAAACCAGGACGTGAACAAAGCCAGAAACAGAAAAAAGGGGGCCAGCGCTTGAACACCGAGCCACGACAGACACCCGTTGGGGGCCGTTTTATTCCGCTGCCAGGAGCTTTTTAGGATTTGTTTTATCTGCTCTGCCTTCCCCACCCGCTGACACGCCCGGCCCTCTGGATGGTGCTCCACACGATCTGTGTCCTGCTCGAGCCAACGCGCTCTATTTCCTGCCTGAGGCTTTGCATTTGCGTGAAAGGTCACTTAAGGTCGTATGTTTAATACAAATGAACTTAAAACAGATTTGATCTTTCATCTGG